TATAAGAGCGTGGGCAAGCATGTTTGAAGAACTCCGAATATACAGAAGGACGACACGTGTCAGGCGTAGAGAACGCTTCACTGCAACAAAATTGCGGAGCATTAAAAGCCTCACACGCGCTTCTACAAGCCACGCTACTTCCACCGCGACTACCACCACGCGCTACTCGTAGCTCCGATGGACACGCGCCGTTCAAATCCACCAAACAGCCGGTAGCAGCGCAACCGCCTCTGGTTCCACCTTTGGCCACAACCAGCATCGGAAGATTATAACCGTCGACCAAGCTGACGTCGTAAAAATCAAGCCCATCGGCGCCGTTGAGAGTGAACTCCGCCAAGGTAGCCGGTGGTTTAGCACCGCCGCCGTCACACTCCACTTTACCCGACCCACAATCGCCGGTGAGACAAGAGAACTTCCCATCTGAATCTAACCCACAAAGGGTCCGACCCCATAACCGACCCGACCAAGATTTCGGGACCGGAACGATCTTGGATTTGCCGCTGCGGAGGGCGAAGCCGGTGGTCGGAAGCTGGGGGGTGTTGGCGCCTGATAACAGACCCGGCCAAATCGTGGTCCGACACTTGTTGATTAGCTTAAAAGACGTCGATTGAACATCTAGAGAAACAGGAAAATGAAGAACACGGGGTGAATTTATAGATCAAAAACACAAAAAGTTGAGATTAAGAAACGGATTCGGAAGAACAGGGAACAAAAGAGGGGAATTTAGGGCGTCGATTCTGTTTACCTGGGAGAAGAAGAAGAAGAGTGAAAAGAGTGGCGAGGAGGAGTGAGCGATCCATTGGAAGATTGAAGGAAAAGCGATAAGATTGGGGTTTTGATGGGATTGGAAGAACTTTACCTTCCTTGTTGCGAGAGAAATACACAGCACTTCGCATATGCTCTGTTTTTGCTTTCTCTCTTTTTCCCGCTTTCTTTATTTAATTCTAATTTTATCGCTCCTACGAACCACTTTCAATTGTTGGGAGATAAGTTTATCTTAGCTACTTAAGGGAAAGATCATGGGTCTATAAGTAAGAAATATCATGAACCCTTTACGAGGTTGATGTCACTAGTGTGGATTGTGAGATACCTCTCCATGACACGTTTTGAGAACCGTACGACAATAGTTGAGAGTGTTGGACGAACATGACTCTTCACAATGGTATGATATTGTCCACTTTGAGCATAAGCTCTCATGAATTTGTTTTGTGGTTCCCCAAAAATGACTCATACAATGGAGTTAGTATTCCTCGGTTATAAACCCATGATCATTCATTAAATTAGTCGATGTGGGACTTTCATCATCGAACATAGAGAAACATAGAGAAGGAAAGGAAGGGAGAAGAAAAGTTGAGAAAGGTGGATGGAGTGTTGGAGGGCTTTTCTAATCCATTACCCGTAATCACAGCAAACTAATTTACATACACTTTGATCAAAGATGGAACAAAGAGAACAATTATTATACAGATTTTGTAAGAAGAAGATGAAGAAGAAGACGAAGAAGATGAAGAAAAATCAATGAAATCCTCTCGAACCTCTGGACTGATACAGTTCCAACCTACTCTTAGCTTCTGGCAGCAGACCTTCTATGGTGGGTTCTTCCGCTAAGTGCGCCTGTTTTGCAGACCATTCCAGCACTATCAGTACCTCTTCTTGTGCTAGCGTCTCACTATCAGGAACATGTAAAGCTATGTAACACAGCAGAATCAACGAAGGAATTTGAACCATTTGTTCTCCAAAATACACCAACTGGATTAGATGCTTCGTTCCTCCTGCTTCTATGATCGCTTTGCAATGGTTTTCATGTAGGAAGTTGTCTGTACACGCGAATTTGTTCAGTGCAATCACCGCCTCCATTGACACCTCTGCTTCTCGTTCGTCCAGCAGCTTCACCAGCGGCCCGATGATCCTGGTCTCGGTGGCTCTGAACGTCCTAGCCAAGTGTCCAATCGCTTGGATCGACGGCATCAGCAGCTCGCAATTCGCTCTCTCGACGATTTTCAGTAACTGATCCACGACGGCCTTGGCGGCAGGGGAGGTGGGTTTGAACCCAGATCGACGAAGCTCGGCGTTCTGCTCGGCGACGGCGGTGATTTCCATCAATGCCATGGCGGAATAGTACTTGACATCCACGGAACCTGTCTCTAATAGAACTGCAAAGCATAACAGAGCTCTCGACTCTGTTATGTTGCGGCAAATGGTAACATTCCCTTTGCATAGTTGCCATAGAGATCTAGCTGCCATGGCTTTCATTTGGGCCTTGGTAGCAGGGTCCTCGTATTCCCTACCCTTTATGCTAGTCCCTGACAGTGCGGCGTGGTGGTGCGGCCGCGTAGTGCTGTGATGATTACCCTTTTGTGGGTTTTGTGATTCATGAGTATTGGACTGACCCTTTACAGGATTCTTCATAAACAACGTGTCGGTAACTACATTATGCATTTGGCTAGGCAATTGATTCCCAGTTGGGTGATTCACTTGTTTATACTCGTCTTCACCATGTTCGGAACCATTCGTATTAGCCATCAACACCGAATGAATCGATTGCTTGGAAGGAATGGTGTAGCGGCTATGTTCTTGGATGGTCTCGAAGGCGAGATGGCTAACCAGAAGCCGAATCACATTGTTTTGAGCGAAATGGTCTTGACATTTGGGATGGTAAGTGGCCATTTCCGAGACAGCCCAAGCCACCACGCATTGAACCTGCATATGCCCATCTTTGAGGATTTTCGCGAAAACAGAGCACACCCCACAATTCACAATCTGTTCCACGCTCTCCGAGTCTCGACCCAATAACCCAATGGCCCTCGCGGCGTGTTCTTGACCTTCCATTCGCCCTTCCTTAGCCAATTTCAGAAGCGGCACAACGCCGCCTTCTTCAATAATCAATTTCCCGTACCGATCGTTGTCTCGAGCTAAGGATGCCAGAGAAGCGGCAGCGTCGGATCGTTCTTCTAAAGTACCCGTGTGAAGAATCGCGACCTGTTCCCAAATGAGACCCAAAATGGGTTCATTAGAAGCGATGGGAGGAAGGCCGAGGTATTCATCGTCGCGATCCTCGGCGGGGATGGAGACGCGGAGAAGCCAAGAGACATCGCCGATTGAATTTTCGAGCTGGGTGGAGATTTTTTTGAAGGAGGCAGCGTTGATAATGGTGAACATACGTTTCATTATACCATTGGAACGACATTTCATGACGAGGGTGAAGGCCTTGTCGAGAACTTGCTCGGTGTCGTCGATGATGCGGCGGGTGGGACGCTCGTAAAGGTCGTTGCTGGCGCGGGCGGCTTGGCGGAGGAGGGTCGCGAGTTTTTCGGTTTTGGTTTTGAGTTCGATGCATTCTTGCTTGAAGGTTTGGGCGCAATCGGCGTTTTTGGTCACCTGGTCGGCCAGTTGGATGGGCCTTGCCAGGATCTCCTTGACAATGCCGGCCATGGCCGAAACGGGGGACCGATTCTTCGCCGGAAAATTCCTCTGTTTTTTTCTTTTTTTTTTGGGGGGAATTAGAAAAAATTCGACATGACTGTCGGAATGGTGGATTGAGAGGGGACACGTAGGCGAGAGGTGGGCCCCCCCCTAATTTCGGCTCTATTATGTTCTAATTTTTTCTTTTATGTATTTTAATTTGTAAAAATAGAAAACCTTTCTATTTATGGCCCCCAATTTTGAATTGTATTTTATCATTTTTTCTAAAAAAGACAGCGTTTAATTTTTTTTTTCTATTAATTGTAAATATAATCCTAAAATAAATTTTAAAATTTTAAAATTTTAAATATATTAATATTCTAAATTACCATCATCTAAAAATAAATAAACCTTAATTATTCTTCGATTGTGACACTGCAACTTGAGTTTATATTGCTTTATCTTGGAAGAACGATGCGTGGTTGAGGTGTTGAGGATCATTAGGAGTGAGTTCCATTGTCTAATTTAGAGAATTATCGTGGATTTATAAGTGAGGAATACTATCTCTATTGGTATGAGACATTTTGGGAAGCGCAGAGCAAAGTCATGAGAGCTTATGCTCAAAGTGTACAATATCATACTATTGTGGAGAGTCGTGATTACTAACATGGTATCAGAGTCATGCCCTAAACTAAGCCATGTCCATAGAGTCCTTAAATATTGAACAAATAATTGTGAGTCTCGAAGGTGTAGTCAAAAGTGACTAAAGTGTCGAATAAATGGTGTATTTTGTTCGAGGACTCTAGAGAAAAGAGTCGAGCCTCGATTAAGAAGAGGCTTATAGTGTACTTTGTTCGAGGGGAGCATTGTTGAGAATTGTTGGGAGTGAGTCCCATATTGGCTAACAATCTCAACGCCCAAAATGCACAAAAAAGCCACATGACTCGAGACAATAACATTAATGCACTATACTAAATCCACTCGAACGTGCTATACAATGATATTGGCATTAGAACAATCATTTAGCCTAGTGTTGGCTGCCGTAAGTCGAAGACATGAAAACTCTAGTTAACACCATTCACAAAGAACGTTTCGTGAGTTGTGCTCGTTGTTTAATAGCTCACATTATTTACAAGAAGATACATTAGAGTATAATCTTTTCAAGAAACGTGATACAAACTTCAACAATCTGTCGAGAATGAATTTTTACCGTTCAAAGCCAGAAAAGAATTTTAGATTCAGAACACAACCGCATTGAAAAATTATTCAAGAAGAAGAACGTATCTAACTCCCTAAATTGATCATGGAGGCGTTGTGAGTTGTCATGAATACTTTTGATACATTCCCGACTTCGATTCATGAATCCATTAAATTCATTTGATTCATCTCCCATATTCGTACATAAATCATCTTGATTCATGTGTAAATATTAGCGTTACTTCGATTCATATATAAGAATTTAGTATTGTTATGCCTATATAAAAGTTTGTTTAGCATTATCCTCCGAAATAATGTGATATTTAATAATTTAAAAAATAATAATAAATAAAATAGGAGAAATTAAAATTTTAATAATAATAAAAAAAGAGATATAAATATATAAAATGGGGACAGTTAACAGTCAATTGAATTGCAAGATAATATACATTTCAAAACGACGTCGCTCGCTCGCTTGCTCCACCAGCTCCAGAATTATTCACAGTAGATAATAATAATAATAATAATTAAAAGCATAATTAATTCTGTTCTTGAAATCCGCCCCTGATTTTTACATCTTTTTTAATTCAATTTCGCTACCAACATTGGTCGGATTCCCAATTCCGCCGCGTGTAGTAACCGGAATATCCCGACACCGGCGTACCCGAAACCGAAATCACTCGACCTCTGTAAATCTTCCTGTCGTAATCCGCCCTTTTAACCGGATCCGACAATGTCGAATACGCCGCCTGAATCTTAATAAACTCCTCCGCCGAATTCTTCGCCACCACATCCGGATGACAGATCCTCGCCAGTTTCCGGTACGCCGCCTTGATCTCCCGGGTAGAAGCTGTCGTCGGAATCCCAAGCACCTCGTAAAACGACGAATGCCCAATTGACATTTCGACGCCGAAACGCAGCCCCGTCGTTCGATCCGTCGCTGTGGAGGTCGCCGACGCAACCACGGCTGGATTCCGCCGCTGTACGGATGGGCGGAGAGGGGAGTGGGTGAAAGAAGTGAATAAGGAAAAAGCCATTGAGATTTTTGTTGAACGGGGACGATGAAATGGAAGGGACAGAGGAAGTGGGTTTTTTTATAGAGTGCGCCGAGGCGGAAAAAGAACAATCGTTTTTTCACGTATCATGATGATATGTGTGTGGAAGTCTTATCCATTTGGAGGGCAAAATTGGAAAATATAAAATTATTCGACGTGGCCATCTACATTTTTCAAAAAATATTTTAATTTTAATTTTAAATATATGTCAAAAAAATATTTCTCAATCTTAATTTTAAAATTCTATATATATATATATATATATATTAATACTCTTATCTTATTTAAATGTGGTATTAGTTGATTTATATATTTTTTTTTACTATAAATTTAGATAATTAAAAAAAAAAAAATAGTATGAGATTTGTACATTTGTGATGAGGATGTGAGTCAGCTTCACAGTGTTTTAAGGATAAGGCATGTGAATTTAGGCACAAAATGTTCTGTTTTTTGTTGGGACGAAAATATTATAGCCGAATTTGTGGTTTCAAACACCACCTCAGTGTTGGATTCTATGTACGAGGATTTTTCTATTAAATTAATTAATTGATATATATATATATATAGGTATTTTTCTAAAATAATGGTTTAACAAATTTTAAATTTGTTCGGTCCACTTTGAGCATAAGCTCTCATTTAATACTATGTTAGATGAACACGACTCTCCATAATAGTATCGTATTGTCCACTTTTAGCATAAGCTCTCATTAGTTTGCTTTGGCTTCTCCAAAAAATCTTGTACTAATGGTGAGATTATTTAAATTTACCTAAATTAGCAGATGTGTTATTCAACCTAATTGAGATATTTATTATTATTTAAATTTTAATAAAACTAATTTTATATGGTTGTTATTTAAATTGATTTTATTGGTTTTTTAATATATATATATATTTTGTTTCCCACCTTTAATTTTTTTGAATTTTTAAATTCCTATATAATATATCGAAATTTTAAACGTGCTTTCAATTTTTTATCACATTAAAAGGTCCATCATAGACGTACTCATCATTTTTTTAATTACCGCATATGTTAAATAAAAATAATAATGTCTTATTAAATATATAATTAAATAATTTAATAAATTTGATCATTAAAATATTAAAAATATTATATGTACTTCTAGTAAGTTATGGACTAGATCATAATTATTTTCAACGAGTCCACATAAGTGATCTCAGTTTTTTCATCGGGTCTAGATAGAGACTGAGACCAAAGATCATGGACAACTAATTTTCGAGTAGATCCCGTTTAACCATTTATTCAGCATAACTCTAATTAATTACGAATAATTATACATTTATCACAAACAAACCCACACAAATTAATCACAGATTTATCAATTTAATTATTAAAAAAAAAAAAAAAAAAAAAACCCCAAATTTTTAGGCCTTCCCTTCAATTCTTGCACTGGTGAGCCCAACACAAGCATCCACGAAATCTGCATCAATAAAATCCGTCGACAAAACCTGCAATTTGTCAGCCACGCCCTTCGCGAAGCTCTGATTAATAAACAACCGAGCAAATCCACGGATCCTCCTCGTCACCGGCTTCACACACACCACTGGATTATCGGGCGTCGGCGTCACCGTATTCTCCACTCTGTAAAAGTACTTCCGGCTCGATACCGGCGCCTGGGCCGCCAAGAATTGCAGATTGCTCTCGAACTTCTTCCATGGCAGATCCGTGTTGATCCAATTGTCCTTCAAATACCCACCGCTCCATAACGGGTCGCCGCGTTTCGGTGCCGGCGATTTCCTCGGCTTCCAAATGCAGATCACTCTCCTCGGCAACAATTCCTTAATCGTCTTCTGGAACACGCGATCGTCGTTGTGGATTAAATGATCGCCGAGTTGTTCCACCACGTATTTGTCGAAATCTCGCGGGTCATTGTGGCCGAATTCGGTTCGGATCTCGAGGATAATGATTTCCGATTGTGTTTCGGCGAGGAATTTCTTTACGTCGGCAAAAACGACGTCGACGCTGTAAGTCGAGAGGATTCCATGGCAGACTAACCGATTTTCTTGAATACGGATATCGAAAAGGCGCGTGCCTAACACGAGCTGGTCGTAGATGGAGAGTGATTGGCACTGGGCGAAAGGGCGCGTGATGAAGGGAATTCCGATATCGTCGGTAGCAGAATCGTGAGTCCCTGGCCAAACGATTTGGTTTACGCGCGTTCTTTCGGAGCCGAGATTCGTCATCCACTTTTTTCTATCCGGTGGTCGGTAATCGGACCCTGGAAAATCCTCGCCGGCGGTCTGCCGGAGCTCCACCAGAGCTTTCTTCTCCGTGTGAATGGTCTTCCGCCGTTCGACCTGTTTGGATACCTGAGAACCCATTTTCAGATCGACCGACGAATCCTTCCTCGGAGAGAGTTCTTGGTTTGGAAATTAAATGATAATTTGTGTTTGATTTTTCAAAGTTTGGTAAAGCTGTTATTGGGGTGTTTTCGTAATTTCCTTTAGTGGTGGGTTAATTTCATAATTATTTATTGGTGGGTTAATTTCATAATTATTTATTGGTGGGTTAATTTCATAATTATTTATTGGTGGGTTAATTTCATAATTATTTATTGGTGGAGACTCATGTCAACCATTGCTTTTTTCAATTTTTTGTACAAACCCATTCTGCCCACATTTTCCCCAAAGCGACGTCGTTTTGAAGAAGATTGTCATAAAGCTTTTTTTTCTCTTTTTAATATATATATATATATCTTAAATTACAAATTAATTTTTTTAGTTCAATTAAGCATAAAATTTAATATTATATCTCCTAAGTTAATTAATTTTTTTAAAAAATTTAAATTTAAATTTTTAGAAACTATATCAATAAAATATTATATTACATTTTTACTTACTAAATATTATTGAATTTATTAAGTTATTTCTATTTTTAATAAAAATTATATTATAAAATAGAAGTACCCATTACAAAGTTTATTGGAAGTAAATGATTTTTTTTTTAGAAACCCAATTTCTACATAAATAAATGAAAATAAATGTTTAATTTATTGATGTTATATTCTGAGAAACAAATAACGTTCGGTACGTAAAAATATTTCTTAACGCAACAACAATTTTCATAATAACACATTAAAAATAGAAAACAACGTTTCACTTACGATATCAATATAAAATGTTCTAATGAAACAACCCATTTAATCAAAACAAACTCGAGAAATTAATATCATACTGTCTTAGAGATCAAGAATGGAAATTATACCAACTAAAATTACCCTCAAGATCTTACATAGTAACATTAATTAATATCTCATTATTATTATTAGTTATTGGCAAGGATCGAATTTGCAGGTGACGTGGCCATTACCCGAATTGGCCCGTTTGAAACGAAGGGCCGTGTGGAGGACGGCCCGTTGAGAGCCCAATAAGGCCCAATTTAAGCCTTCCACTACAGACAGTGCAGGGTAGGGGAAATGAACGGAATTGTAGGAATTGAGGAACGCCGTTATGGCTTCTCGTAGAAGGGTCCTATAAGGGTCCCCTCGCCCCTGTAGCCCGTTCCATAGGGTCAAGTCGGTCCCGTAACGGTTCGCCGCTAGTACTCCAAAAACAACGCCCACTTTCATGTCCGGGTTCACCGCTCTCCAATAACATTTGTAACGTGGATTCGTCCAATTTCTACAAATAAATAAATGTCAATAGAGATATATTTCTGATTTATAATAATATTATGATTATCCTCTGAATTGGTCAAGTGAGACTCCCTTTCAATAATTCACTTACTCATGTTGACAAGCAGATGCTTCCAAGAATGGCATCGGCGGCAGCGGAGGAAGCGGCGGCAGTTGAGGAAGCGGTAGCATCTTCGACGGAGGAGGCAAATTTGGTGGTGATGGCATAACAACCGGGGCCGGGACCGGGACAGGATGAACCGATGCGGAACAGAACGACATTGATTGAGCCGGTTGAGACAGCAACGAATCAACCACATACATTTCCATACTAAACAATCTAAACATTAACCTAAGACTCCTCGGCGGGCTACCAGCGCCGCCGCAGTCCGTCGTCGCTCCCTCTCCAGTTCCACCAACCGTCGCATAACAGCCGCTAAGATCCGGCATTCCATCAAATCTCATCGTAAAGCTTCCAAACAAATTCGTAGTCTCCTCCCTCAAATACGTCACTCCCCCATTGCCATCGCCACAAGCCACCATCACTTTAACACCTGCAACGACCAAATTAAGTTGACGGGTTACGATAAATTTAATATTAAAATAATGGGTTAGGATAAATTTAATCATACCGTTGATCGGGTAATCAAACATGGAAATTTGACCATCCTTGCACTGATCGCAAAAGACGGTGCCGGTGACGACGGCGTAGCCATGGGCAGTGGCGGAGAGGAGAGCTGCAGCGAGGAAACAGAGGTGGAGGTTGGTGAGAGAATCCATGGAGGTGAGAGAATTAGAGGATGGGCCAATTGGAAGTGAATTTAAGAGAAGGTTGAAGATGAGAGATGAAGGGGTAGAAATCTGACAGAAGTGTCAGATGTCAGATGACAGTTAATGAAGAAAAAGAAGCTTCAAATTCAACTCTCAACTGTCCAAATTAATGGGAGGTTGGACAAAATTAAAATATATTATATATATTTGGAAATTTTTGTTTCTTTAAATTTGTTAAGATATGATTAATTATGCTTTGAATCAGATTTAGATGTTCCCTCAAACAAGACAAATATTTGATTTTTTTATGTTGGTCGACTAGCCGCGCTTATAGGTCGAGTTACTCGAGTTAAAATATTTTTTTTAGACTCAATAAATTATTTGAATGGTAAATTTTTTCAAATTCAACCATAAAATTTTTGGGTTGAGTTGGTTCGTATTCATTTATTTAGATTTTTATTTTTATTAAATTAATATTAGCTTATAAAATATGTTTTTATTTTTAAACATTTAATTATAATTTATAGCTTAATTTTGAAAAACTACATTTCAAATAGTTTTAAATTATTTTTAAGAGGGGTTTGGAGATAAATAATCCGAAAAATAATTATGGAGTATATATAATTGTATGGTAAGTAAAATTGTATTTTTTTTAAATGAACAATAAATTTAGGTTTATTTGGTTCAACCAAATATAGTTTTAGAAAATCCATAATCGAACAGATACGATTTTTTGAATGCTCGTTTTCTATTTTTAAATTTTATGAATTTCACATCTTTTATGAAAATAAATAAATAACATATTTAATTTCAAATTAAAGGAACAAAAAAAAAAAGGGTTTTTTATAAATATTTTAAATATCATTTTGTCTCATTTTTTCAAATTTAGTTGGTTGGTCTAATGCAATAAATTTTAAATTTAATCTAATAATAATAATAATAATAGTTTTTATATTAGATAAATATATTTTAATAAAAACGTTTTTCTTTTTTAAAAATCAACAACAAACTAACGGAAGATTTTAATTTGTAAGATTTATTGAACTACATAAATTAAATTTAAAATAATAAACATTAAATATTTTTAGAGAGTTAATAACAAAATAATGAAATTTAAGTAATGTTTATACTTAATTTTTGATGTTTTATAATTTGAATGGGTTTTTATTTATTAATTTCAAAACATAATAATTAAAAAAAAAATACCAATTTTATTGTTTGTAATTATTTTGGCATTTCCAAACATATAAAATTATTTACAAATATTGAGTTTTATTATGTCACGTGACACACAAAATGCTCGGTAGCTGGAAGTTACCCTCACATAAATATTAAAATATCCTTGCTGGATCCTTCTAGATCTCATTTATATTATCAAAATCTTACCAATATATATATATATATGTAATTCAATAATTAATTCACTTTATATTTTCTGCATCCTAATTTCAATAATTTAATAGCTTCAATTTTTAAACCATTTAATTCAACTTAAAAAAAAAAAAATAGAGACTCGTTCTAATATTATTGTGCTCACACTAAAAAAAATAAGAGAAGGAAAAGAATCTCGAGTTAATCAATTAACAAATTTAAATATAATTAAAAATATTATTATTAAAAAATTATTTAGTTCACTAGAGCTTCGTTAGTTAGAGTCGAGGGGATCTGCATCGAATTAGGTAGAGATTTTTCATTGAAACGAAAAAGGTGGGAGCCAATGAGTACACATTTCTCTCCATCACGGAATGAGGATAACCCTGTCCTCCGACCCTGTATATATATAGTTATTTATTTATTTATAAATAATTATTTTAAATGAGAAGAATTTGCTCGTAAAATGTTATTGAATTTATTGAGATGTTTTACGTTTTGAATTAATATTTATTTAGAATAAAGGGAAAAATTCTCGCGGAGAACTCGATTCTCGTGAATTCCCGCAGATAATCCACACCCGATTCTCTAAAAAGATAAACGTAAAATTTTGTAGGTATAAAAATTAGATTAGGAGACACGAGCGAGAAAAAACGTCCGTGGTAGCAGTAGTTGGCAGCTCACCAGTTGTTTCCATCCTTGCAGTGAGGATCAATTCATGAATAATTCAACAACCAGAAATAAATGAGTCAGTTCTTTTTTTTTTGGTTTTTTTTACAAAAATAAATGCTTTATTATTATTATTTTATTTTTAAAAGTTTAACTTTACATTAAAATTTTAATTATTCATTTCTTATTTTTAAGCTATTTTGAAATAAATTGAACGTAATAGTCTAAGCTTACTGTGTAAGTATAGTAGTTACTGTTTTCTGTTTTGGGCTTCTACTCAAAATTTTAAAACACGTCATCTCGGATATGATGAAATAGGATGAATTGAGACGGTAGTTTTGTAAGTACGTAATTATCTTGAATATATTAACTATTTCTTTATTTTTCGATCGCCTGGAAGGGACAAAAGAAACATATTGTTCTTTCTTCAACAATTTCTGATCTCTAGTGAACCTCTCTCTCAATAGGATTCGAACTCATATGAAGTTCTGGTCATCTGTTAAAGAAAAAAGAACGGATGGATCTTGTAGGATTCCCGAGAAATTTTTCGATTTCTTCTGGAAGCGGATGATTATTCATCTGCTTCTCACGTTCCGTGAATAGCTGGACATTGAAGAATATCCAGAAAAGCATTTAGGGAACTGGTCTGATTCTATCTCTGTTCGTTTCGTTTGAAGATAGTGAGAGATTTTCACACCATATTAAAAATGTTTCAGTCCTGTCTGGACTTGGAGGAAAATTTTAAAAGTTTGAAGGATGAATTTTAAAAGGATAATAAATGGTTAAAATCCATTTAAAAAAAAAAAAATTAATGCTTTTAAGAGAATTAATTAATATTTCATTAAAAAGTGTTTTAAAAGGGTGTAGTAAATTTGCTTTTGTTTTTGGTTCTTAGGTCTAATATTATTTATTGATATTAGAGAGGATATTTATGCCTCATTAAAAGGCTATATTGATCGAGTTGGCACCAACCTTCAACTATTTATCACCTCTCAAATAAGCCCTAATTTAATTCTTC